CATGTGCTCTCTAACGATCGTAGTTATTCGATTCTCGGGCACCACTTCATAGCATTGTAATACGTTCCCACAAACAATGTGCTAGCCACGAGTGTGACAATCTCTGAAAAGTTAGTGGCCCTGGTAAAAAGTTAGTGGATTAATAGCAGTAAATACTATATACGTACCTGATTGCAACCCTGTCAATAATGGTGTATGTTTCCAAATGCACACGGTGATAAGAACATAGATAGTAATACTGATACGTTATTGATTGTAATTTCAGTGATTGTTTTAATCGTCAACGTCATTAATTAGTTATCTTCAATTGTCTTGGTATTGAACTTCTGAATGGTTTTCTCTGCAGGAGTTTAATCTCGTTTTGTATCTTCATTATTTCCGGAAATTTAAAGTTAATTGATCACCTTCAACTCTCTAATGATGGGTACTGACAATAACGCATTTGCCTCGCGCATATTTCGAGTAAATATTCCTACAATTACGGTACCAGCAACTGCACAACTAGAACGGAAAACCAAAGTAAGCCTCGCCGTTCAAGTTGCCGTTCACGCATAATTATTATTTTAGTTGCCAGACGCGCATATTAAAATTGCAGGATGGTAGTGGAATGGAACGCTCACCAGCTATAACTTACTGCCCCCAAAAAATAGACACCGAATTACCATCATGATCAACTGATCACGTACGAATATCGGTTATATACGTTACACAAAGAACCGTAAGTAAATACATGTACGAGGATTGTCCACTCGTTAAACAAGCCTCTGGTGTTATTTGTTTTAATGATCATGCAATTGAGTACACAGGTACACAGAATTCCTATGATGGGGGGGGGGTGACGGTATATCTGCTGTAAATTATACCTCGCACGTAACATACGTCATATACTTGTATACTTATTAGTGAGTACTCAATGAACACTCATTGTGTGTAATAGGGTCTGAACTATTTTACATTTTCAGTAGATAATTGGCAAAGCCTAGCATGTTGGAAATTGAAATATCGTTTTTTCACTATTTTTAGGCAGAAATCTCTAATATTTGAGTTCGTTTTTTGATGTTCCAGTTTAAAGGGCCGTAGTTTGCGATTGGTCTCATAGCGACGAATACAACGCGTGTAAAATACATTGTTTGTTTACACGAAATTCAAACATGCGCTGCACGACGACCACCGCCTTTAAAATTGGTATCGCGCTTATGTATCCATCGTGGGATTGATTTTACCGCCGACATATCGACGCAAATGATGCACCTGAAGGATACAGGCATGATATTACAATTAGCGGTATGGCGTTTTACGTAGTCGTGGAATTGATTCTCGTGTATATTCATAGTGTGCCTTTAATTTATATTCACGCTATTATTAGTAATGGTAATTGTATCATTTCTATATTACTATTTTCATTTTCTAAGTTGTCGGTGTAGTTGGGTTATTAGGAATGTACATGTGTATTGGGGTACTCTGCCATTCACGTCAGGTAAACAAACTACCTTTTCCCAACGACATTCGTTGTCCGTAAGCAGGCCGCTTTTATCGCGTAATGCCCTCTCAATGCAGGTATACACTCAACACTGTTGTAGGAGGTAGTGTTGTTTCTTCTGACGTTGTTAACACACACACTAATACATTCCACTAGGACATTCCATTGTCACAGGAACCGAATTCTTTCAATTAACATTAAGCGCTTGTTTTCACGCCTCGGGTCAATCGGCCCAAGAATAAGTCCAACATAATGTATTGCATCTGGCCAATTATCCCTACACAATGCGTGGTTAATAAGTACCGTACGGCGGTAACTTATATGCCAGTCAATTTAGCGACAAAATGTGAATTAATTACAACAGGAAATCTTTTCACGGTAACATGTAACTAATAGAGACAGGAGAAAGTTGTTCTCGCATTTTATGCTATTATTATGTATTCTGTACTTCAAAAGTTTAAGCTACAAATATAGTATTAACAACTTTAAAAAAGCTAGGGAGCTTTGTTTTACGTGGCTGCCATGTTAATATGTGTCTAGGCGTACTTTCTTTCTTACGATTAGAGAGATATTGTTGACACAAGCCAGTACATGCGCTTCTTATTCGACTAGAAAAAAAAACTTGGCTTCACAACAAATACAGAACATCATTGTATTTAATTACTTTCTGCTGCATGTAGTTAGAGCGAGAAATATAACCTGTTACGATGCAAATACTTTATTTCGCAATCAGTTTTGAACTAAATCACATTAACTAGGCTATCACATAATCCAATGATTTCTACGTTACGGACAATGTCATTTAGTGAAAAATATTGCTAAGTTTATTTTTTCTGTCAAGGAACAGTTACACGTCTCATGTTTCATGTTTCATGTCTCATTTCACTTACTGTCTATTTCACACAAATCCAAGTGTTTTGTAATGAATGTAACACATCCACAATAATCTAATTTGATACATTAAAAAAGCGACTTTTTTGAAACTACTTTATACTTCTAACATTAGAATAACGCATGTATAACTAGGTCACACGGCACATAGAGATATTCCCGATGTTGAACCAACCAATAAGTGTCAAATTTGCAATAATACCGTTATAATACATTCTAAAAATATTTAGATTAGTTGGGATTTGCGCTGACATTTCATTTAGCCTTTTTAGTAAAGGTGTGACTGTCTATGAGCACGATCGTCAGACGTTTACAGGTAGAAAACCACATTAATATTTACCGATATTTTATGCTGCACAATGTGTATGATTGAGTGCAACTATCGAATGGAATATACATATACACCTGGAGTACACAAAGTGGACATTCTGATCGTTATATTGGATATTTTATATAATCTGAACCTTGAGCGAGAAGCATTCCGTTACAGGTTTAATTTTTATACCATTTGTCATGCATTTAAAAGTATCATTTGTATCATATGCTTCTAAACTTCTTTAACATAATTGACATGTGAATCCAAAATTTTCTAACACGTGTCTAGTACTGTTATGTGTCATTTGCAAATATGAACGGCGGTTTTTGAAAAAGACACAGATTACCGTCGGCTTACCGCCAGCGATTAAAAAGAAATTGGAGCCGTAAATATATTGATGGCTATACCTTGAATCTCATGTCACTTAATTGTGAAATAATTGTATAGCAGTCATCACACTCCTCGCGATCGAGTAATCGACAAACGGTTCAGCAGAAAAAAAAGAATCTCGTGCCCAGTTCACTTTAAAAAGAAAACGCACTTTGATTAATTTTTCGAGCTACCGCTTTATAGCGGAAATAGTCAGACGCGTGCGTGCGGACACGGACAGTTGGGTGACAGAAACGGTATGCGCTATTATTAGTCCACACTAAATAGGTCAAAAATAGCATAGACCTCCGTTGTATAAATGTATGGATACGGAGCTTTAAATATATATTTTTCCAATATTTTTGTTTCAAGAAATGTTCCTGCACCAATTATTTATTTACTTTTGGTATCTTAATTGTATAGTTCAATTTTAGTAATCTTATGAATAAAATGGCATTATATTTTTACGCCGGTATAAACGTCATCACAATATCAGCATGTTCATTAGTTCATCCGTTAAAAAGCTTAATAATGTGTATGTTATATTATTATTTCAGAAATTAGCTAGAGATCGCCCGTGTTCATTGTGAAGGTTCAATAAGGCATGTAGATGTTTGGATGTTTGGATGAAAGTAAATATATGTACGCTGCCGTGTATAATAAAGTACCATTAACTTAGTTTGTGGTTAAAAAAAATGGTCATAACTTATTTATTGAGCAAGACTTAAACATGAAATACATTACAAAACACATAACAAGATTTAGGTCACACTAAACGTATCCGATATCATACACCGACCTAACCATTCAAATGGATGTGATGTAGATAGTAAATACTAAATTTACTATGACTTGTATTTATAACAATAGCTTTTATGAGGTAACAAAGATTACATGACCCTCCTCCATCTGACGTGTACATTGCTGTTATTCAATTTTATTCAAGTCGCCCTATTTGTACAACCCCTGTCTTACGTATCACATCACTATGACGTTTCTTATTCAATATTGATACACTCGTTGCCATGCCACGCCACTAGTGCATTCCTATATGAACAAGTTTATGTATAGCGGATAAGTATATCCCGTGACAAAAGGGGGTGTTAGTTTTAAGGGTATGCAGTTTAACATGGCATCGATAAGCAACAAAGTGGCACCTAAAGCCACGGATATCATTTCACGCCAGGAGAACACAAAATTGGTGTTAAAATCAGCCGACCCAGAAAACGAGCCAACTTATAGCACCTCCAAGGGTTATAACTGTGATGCAATAGATGTAATTTTAGGCGTCGACAAACAAAATTCACCAGAGACTACAGAGATGGTAAGATCGAATTTCACATTTGTAACACTATTTGATTGTTAGGAATATATATGTATATCGATTTACATTGAGCTAAAGTATAGTTCCCTATAATGAAATTTGGTAATATAAATCTTTACATGGCAATTATTCCATGTAACCCAGAAACCACATATATTGACGTATGTGCGCATTCATATAATACATTCGGAATATTCCTAACCAGGTATGATATGATATTGTAAGTGACTTCCACTAGGGTACTTTATGATACCTTTAATTCATATACTGTTAAATAGATATAATTATCTATGGATAATACCCAACTGTACAACGTCGACTGTCTGACGTACTTACGTGTCACGATCACGCAGCGTGCATTAATATTTTATTAATATTTTGAACATGTTTAAGCGCCAAGCTCCTCGTCGATAGAAAATTAGATTATAACAATAAGGTTAAAATTTAGAATGATGATGAGGTAGCATGCAGTCGCAGTGACCACTGATAATCGTATGACAATACTATATGTGTATCACTGTTGTACACAAACTCCAAAACAGCCAATTTGATCTGCTCAAATCAGGGAACGGACTATTTAATGTAACACACGTACTTGTAACACGTACTACACACAGAGTGTCGTAACGTGACCGTATTACAATAAATAAATCGTCGTTATACCGCGTTAACGAATCCTGAGCAATGCAGAGCCAAAATCAACTTAAAGCTTTAGCCTTTCACCAACTGGATCATATAGTTGTTGCACGAAGATTATCTCCCGGTTACAGGAATGCATATAGAACAAAATCCAGTTCAGGCAATGTACGATACATTCGTGAGCAGAAAATGTTAACTATTCAATCTGTGAGCTAGGACTTGATCCGATGAGAAACTTAGTTATATGCTTAATGTGAACGGCAAATGAGCGAATCTAATTTGCTGACAGGGCTGTCATGAATTTGTTTTCGCGTATCTGTTAACCGACTTAATTAGTTGATTATTAGCGAATTGCTGTGTTATGTCTGTCATCGTGTAGGCCTATTTGAAGTTTTGGACGGAACTTGGCTCAGTGATTTGGAACTAATTACAAGATACCGTCGCTATTCTGACATCCGTAGTTATTAATGTAGTGAACGATTAATCAAAAGATATGACGTATTCAGTACTTAGTGTGATTGGCTTTATGATTGAAGGTTACGCCCTAGAGTCTTTTACTGTTTTGTAATTGGTTAAGGTTTTGAAAATGAATAAAGAGAGTTTGAGTTGGTCTTGACGAACACAGCACGATAGACGCAGTAGAGAGAGAGTGCAGTCCTAGAGAGTCGAGAGAGTCCAGGGGCGAGCCTTGACGCAGTCCAGTCTTGGGCGAGTCTTGGTTCAGCCTTGCGACAGTCTTGGGGACTTTTCCCCAGGGCGCTGTGTCTTATAGAGTGCTCGAAAGATCGACTAAGACGAGAGCTGAAACGTATTTCGTTGTGTGTGTCTTATTTGACTGTAAAGTTAAAGTGACTTCCCCGATCCCGTACCTCAAGGGGACGAGATAGAGAGACGAGACGAGTTCCCCCTCCTGACAAGTGTGGAGAACCCCAGAGAGAAGAATTTACCCCCTGATAGGGCTATGATTAAGTGTAATAATCATGTACATATCATGTTCTACAAAACATAGCTAAACTAAACATAACTTGCCCTTTTTTCGTTGAGACTACCAGCATGTATTTGTCTGACTTGGTGAACAGACCTATTGAGTATGTTCTGTATGGCACGCTGTGTAGTGTATACGTGTTTCGCTTCGCCATACATTGTACATACAAGAGATTCGGTGTATTGTTTTCCAGTGTTGATTTCCAGAATTTTCTCAGAAGGAGAATTCATCCAATTTTCTTAAAATTTAATGTGATTAATTTACTTAACTTTAGGTTGGGTTACTTAATAAAAAGTCATCT